ATGCAGAATGTTTCACACAGTACCGAGGATAGGGATGACTACTTTTTCAAAAACAACAACCACTCCTGTTTTTAGGAGTGTGTTCAGCGCAATGATATTGCAAATAAAGACAAAAGCTATTTCCCCCTTAATAAATGCAAAAAGAATTTGAATTCCCCTGGGATTCCAACCCATCCCTCAGAATCAGCAGTTTGATTTTGGTTGACATAGTCTTAGGAGCTGTGCATGGCCAATGTGGAAGCCTGTCATATTTTCCAAAGTTGCCATAACTTGTCCGACAAGGAGATACTGTTTCTATAACGTAGTTGTCTCCAATTTGTAAAATTCCATCTACGGATTTTTTTTTTTTTTCCTGCGTAATCTCTACAGCCTCTTGCTGCAGGTCTTAAGAAAAAGCATGCCTACCAGGAGGGAGGTGACTAAATCTTGGTCAGACACTTGACTTGTTTAAACGGAACTCGGTCCAGCTATGTTCCTCCGATAAAATACATTTCAGCAGAGTTGCCTCAAGAATTCCTTAATACCTAATCCTTTTTGTAAACAAGGCATTGAATAAATGTGGTTGCTCACCCCTCTGAAAAAGACCTTTAGTAAGTGGCATTCTCATTTTTACCTGGCAGATCTGTTTTACTTCTTCCAAAGGGCTGACATTAATACCCACTGCCTTCCTCAACTCCCACCCCCTCCACACAATTCCACATTAAAACCTCCCACATGTTAACGTTCCAATGTGAGAACCGTGTCTATGCCACAGTTCAGAAGCTGGAACCTGTAATCTCCATGTGTTGCATTTTCTCAGTCACGGGAGAGCAAGGCTGGGGTATGATCCCGGCTCTACCACACTGTCTACTTGCTCTGGCCGGTTACTTCTCTGAATGTCAGTTTCATCTGTGAGATGAGCTGCCTTGTGGCCCCTTCATTCATTCGGTCATCCTACAAATATGTGTACCAGAGATGATCACAATAGGCCAGGTCTCTGTTCTGCAAAGCGATCAGTGTGGGCACCGGGCGGTGAAACAGAATTGCAGCCCAGTGCATGTGGGCAGCACGGCCATGGCGGTGGGGCAGGATGGGGGAGTTCTGGAGCCATCTGAGGGTGACTTACACTCAACGTTCCTGCCGCCCTCCAGGCACAGTGCAGGGAACGCCCTTTGCTTCAGAATGGGTGAGTGATGAGTCACCCTTGAGAACCCGGGGAAGTGGAGTAGGCTGGGGACTAAGGGCCAAGTCACAAGTTCCTTGGGAGGCATTTGTTAGAGAGGGCCATTGGGATCATCTTCTAGGGAGGGGGCTTGGGGGAGGGGAGGAGAAAAGTTAGACTGCTATGCAGTCCCCAAAACAGCCTCAACCTACCCCTTCAGGAAGTTCTGAAGTTGAGGAGATCCCAAAGAACTGTCCCCAGCTGGGATGAGGAGGCTGGAGTTTTAGACCCTATCTCAGCTCAGGCACTGGAAGTGGTCTGCTCCCCAAGGAGGGGGCATGACCCTGCGTTTCAGAGGTGGGGGCATGGGTTTGGTGCATATCTACTTGGAAGCCTTCTCTTGTCTCCATACCCCTCCCTTCTTCTCTCAGCCCCCCTCACCTTCCCAAATAGATCTGAGAAAAGGAGCCTAATGTGGCCAGGGAAGTTTTAGGAAGAGGCAAGGTAGAAACTTGAGACCTGACAAAGGAGCAGAAATCAATTGGGGAGGAAGAGGGAGAAATTTCTGGGCTGAGGGATGGACATGTGCAAGGGCCGAGCAGCAAGAGAGGGAGGGGAAGAAGGGTGGAGGAGGGAGAGGGAGAGGTGTTTCTCACTTCAGGATAGCGGAAAATAGGGGTCACTGAACTCGGAGTCCAGTCCTGACTTTGCCAAGGGCTCAGAAGTTACTCAAACTCTCCCAACACCCAAGCTTAAAATATTGAATCTGGCATCCCATGTGTAGGCAAACAGATACTTAGTATTTTTCCTTTCTCTAAACCATTGGTGACATACCACACACTGTCTACTGGACTGTGCTTTTAAAAATTTTTATCTATGGGACACCTGGGTGGCTCAGTTGGTTAAGCATCTGCTTTCCACTCAGGTCACGATCCCCGGGTCCTGGGATCAAGTCTTGTATCAGGGTCCCTGCTCTGTGGGGAGTCTGCTTCTCTCTCTCCCTCTCCTCCGCACTTGTGCTCTCTCTCTCCCTCACTCTCTCTCCCTAAAATAAATAAAAAATCTTTTATAAAATTTCTCTCTGTGCATATTGCTGATAATTACATATGCATATGTTTAGAACTCACTCTTCTTTTGAATGTTTGTGTCTCTTTTACGACTGTACCTTAATTTACTTAACCGGTTTCTCTACTGATGATATTGGTATTTCTGAGAACTTTGGAAAAGTCAAGTTGATTGAGGTATCCATGCAATAAAGTTCATTCTTCCAAGTGGACAGCTCTATGAATTTTGATCAATGCATGCAATCACGTAGTCAGAACCAAAATGTAGAACAGTTCCATGACTCCAAAAATCTTCTTAGTGCGTCCTTATGGACAGTCCCCCTCATTATCCCAGCCCCTTGTAGCCACTGATGAGCTTTCCATGCATTTTCCAAAGGGACTTTGCCTTTTCCAAAATATTACGTAAGTGGAATGCTACATGATGTGGCTTTTCGGGTCTTGTTTCTTTCACCAAGCACAATGCATCTGTGCTGTTGCCTCTATCAGTGGCTAACTCCTTTTAATTATCCCCTGGTACAGATAAAACACCGCAGCTAATTTATATCCATTCACCAGTTGGAAAACATTAGGTCATTTCCAGGTGGGGCAATTATGAATAAATCTGCTACTATTTCATCCTGGCTTTGGGTAGAGGTAAGTTCTTATTCCTCCTGGGTTAACACCTGGGAGTGGGATTACGGAGTTGTTCGGTGAGTTTTTGTTTGGCTTAATCAGCGCCAGCCAAACCGATTTCCAAAGTGACTCTACCAATTTGTTCTTCTACCAGCAGTGAATGTATACTCACCAGCTTCTGTTATGGTCACAGTCACTTGTTTTTGTATTTTGTTCATTCTGATGGGCACATATAGATTTTATCTACTATAAACAGTGTTACAGTGAATATTCTTATGTACATATCCTTGGTGATTAAATGCGAGTGTATCCATAAGATACGTTCTTAGAACTGGAATTGGTGGGTCGTAGCGTGTGAAAGGTTGATTAGATATTGCCAAAACCCTTCCAAGAAGGTGGGGCCAATATACACACATACCAGGAAGGAATGGTAATGCCTGTTTCCCCACATCCTCACCAACACAGCGTATGAGGTGATTGTTGTGTGAGCTGTTGGTGAAGATTGAAGTAAAACATTAGAGCAGTGCCTGTCATCCACAGAGTGGCAAATAATGTAATTACATGATTACCAATACGAATCTATCAATCACACTATTATATGCCTCTTTCTCTAAGTTCCTCATTGGTATATCCCTGAGTGCTTTTCTCTGAGGAGCTCAAATGTTCTACCTATGGAATTTGGTAAATCCTTATAAATCTTTTCAGATGTTGGCCAGCAATTCAAGCTCTGTGGGGTTTACAGAATAGGGAAGTGTGACAGAATAGGATCTTTCTAAGTTTACAGAACAGAGTTGTGTTCCACAAGGTCAGAATTAATCTCCTTTGGAATGCGAATGGACTCCTCTAGGTTACAATGGCTTTCAAATTATTTTTTTCCACTGCTACACTTCGAGAAATACACCAAGAATCACGACGCACATTCATACCCAAAACAAAAGTTTCAAAAACATCCCCAATACTTATTTGTTTTCTATTTGCTCCATTCCATTTCGCTGAAAATAGTTTCACTGGGAGCCACTGACATATAGATATCGAAACCTACTGCGGGTTAAGACTAGCAGTTTAAAGGGCATGGTTCTACCATCTAGGTCATAGATATTGGTCTTCCTGGCAATGGAAGGAATCACAGAACTGGATTCCTAAATGGAAGCACTGAACCTCACACTCCGCTTTGGGTAGATTATTCCCATTTTCTTCTTCATTCCCTTGGGCTGGTAGAGTTTACTCGTTCCTCAATTATTCACAAGTAACTTTTGAACTCCCGAGGTGCTCTACCCATCATTAAGGGCCAGTGATAGAGAACAGGTTTTGAAAGAGCAAGAGGCCTGGATTCAAATCTCACCTGTACCCTTTGCTGGTGATCTTGGTTAAGCCTCATCAGTCATCAAAGACTCCGTTTCCTCTTCTATGAACGGGAGTCAGAGAAATCAATGAGCCAGCGTGGGTAAAGCTAATCAGCACAGCGTCAGGATCCGAGTAAGTCCCTAATACAGTGGTTCTCAAGGTGTGATCCCCAGACCAGCAGCACCAGCATCCCTGGAGAATTTGTTAGAAAAGCAGCTGTGAAGGGACACCTGGGTGGCTCAGTGGGTTAAGCTGCTGCTTTCAGCTCAGGTCGTGATCCCAGATTCCTGGGATCGCGTCCCGCCTCGAGCTCTTTGCTTGGCAGGGAGCCTGTTCCTCTCTCTGCCTCTGCCTGCTTGTGCGCTAGCTCTCTCCCTCTCTCTCTGATAAATAAATAAAATCTTTAAAAGAAAAGCAGTTCTGGGATCTCACCCCGGATTGACTAAATCAGAAACCCCAGCGGTGGCGCCCCGCGATCTGTTTTAGCAAGTCTTCCAGGTGATACTGAGACAGCTCAAGTTTGAGAACCACAGGCTTAATACACGGTAACCATTGACAATTAGTTCCTGAGGCTGCAGAGCAAGCACCGGGCAGGAAGGATTAAAAAAGTTAAGCACTAAAGTGCCTACAGCACCCACTGAAGAGGGTTCTAACCTGCCTCAATCCGGGTTCCTCCCCACTCCTCCCTGAACACATACAGAGCTCGCTGATTGGTCAAGTCCTTCCTGACAGTCACCAGCCACCCAACCCGGGAGAGCGAAAACTGAACGGGGCGGGACCGAGTGCTGCAAGGGCGGCGCGCCTATTGGACCCCGGAGCTGCGCGTGCGCACTGATGAGGCGCGATCCTGAGGGCGGTTGAGAGATGGCGACTGTCGCCGAGCTGAAGGCCGGTGAGTGGCACTGGAAAGCTGGCCGAGTAAGAGGCGTCTGGCCTTCCGCCTGTGAAAAGGATGGAACGAGCGGAACACAGAGTCAGCCTCTTTGGGGTCGTTCTGCGGCGTCAGGGCTCGCAGAGAGTCTGGCTGGTGTAGCCGCCGATGCGTCCGGGCCCTGGTTGAGGGAAGCGGTCGCACAGGGGCCGTTCAGTTTTGGAACCAGCTTCGAGCTGGAAGAGGAGCGGCAGGACCCTTAGGTTCCCGAGAGGTCTATAGGCCTGCACTTTGGGCCTCTGGCGCATTTGTCGGACCCCGCTCGAGCCGAGGCTTTGGGCCGCAGCTTTCATTTGGGACTGAGGGTAACAATATCCGTATCCATTATTGGGTTTGGATGCAACTCCTAAGCTAGTTGCTTACTTGTCTCACGGAATCCTTATAACAACCTTTGGGGTAGGGCCCGATCTCCATTGGGAAAATCGGGAGGTAGAAAGTTTCCAGGCTTGGCTGTTCTCCTCTGTTTTTCACCAAATTCCACAAAGGTGCGAGTCCTCATCAAACGGGTAACGGGTTTGTGCACCGGTGGTTTTGACGCAGATATCCAGGCAAATAATAGTAATTATAGTTATAAATGGCTTAGCCTTTAATGTCAGACACGGCCCAGCCCCTCTGCCACCTATTAGTCTAGGCACAACCTTATGCCCGTTTCATAGATGGGGAAATTGAGGTGCATAGAGGTGACACAACTCACCCAAAGTAACTTAGCTAGAAGGAGGAGTGCGTGAGAACCTGGGTAGGCTGCTCTGAACTCCAGGCCTCACTCCCTGGGTGATGCTGCTGCCTGTTTAATAAAACCAGTTCCCGTTCTCCGGGGACCTTGCGCTCCAAACCAGGAATCATTAAAGATCTGGCAGGGAGGGGCTGGATCTCTTTGAGAATAGGATTCAGTAAGCATTGCTACAAAATGTGTACGTGGGGCACTGGGCTGATGAACAGTCAGGAAAAAAAAAAAAAAAAAAGCATTCCTTTCTCCACAAGAACAGATTTTTCAGGTGAATTTGAGCACCGCGCCTGCATGAACTACATAACACGTGTAATACTGCGTCAGCTTCAGAGGATTTAATGATACTTTGAGATATGGGGCCAGGTGAAGCACTTCTTCTCTGAAGAAGTGGTTACGGTACAGAGTTTTAAGCATAATCAAAGGAAAGGGCAGAATGGTATGGAAAGAAAATGTAACTGGGCATGAAGAATGTCCTACGTAGGGGCGCCTGGGTGGTTCAGTTGGTGAAACCTCTGCCTTCAGCTCAGGTTATGATCCCAGGGTTCTGGGATTGAGCTCCACATCGGGCTCCCTGCTTGGTGGCAAGCCTTCTCCCTCCCTACTTGCCCTGCTTGTGTTTCCTCTCGCTGTCTCTCTCTCTCTGTCAAATAAATAAATTAAT